TGATGGAAAAAACCGTGAGACGGACTCATATTGGAATTGTTGAATTGTCAATCTCAAGAGCTTGGATACCCAGTTCCCATCTACGCAAGCATTAGATATTTTCTCGAAAGGGCCATGGGCCTCCCTCGAAAACCCATCTACTGACCTCTGCTTACGGAAATTGGAATAAGACTAACCGATCTTCTAGCCATGATCTCCATCCCTTCCTCATAACCAGTTTGCAGAGTACTATAGTGAGGAAATTGACAGCTGTGTCGAAAGAAATTGTCCCACTAAACTTTTAGCTCATCTCTTCGATCCCTCCTCGACAACTGACTTGGGAATCAATGGCTCATTCACAAGCTCTGGTTCTTAATATTGTAATTCAGTGTAGTCAAAATCACGCTTTTGCACTTCTATTTCACCAAACAGTGACGCCCATGAGCAATCGTCACCAACAACACATAGCAAAGCTCCAGCGACAACAGCTGCCATTGATAGACCGATAATTATACATGTTTTCACCCCTATTCTGAAGCCGTTTGTGATGAAGAATCTCGTGTTTTAAGCCGATTTCATGCTAGGTTGTGTGTTTATGTCATATTTCAGGTCCCAGCGTTGGAATCGAGGCGGAGGAACGAGTTCTGGGTCGAAAGGAGCGAAGTTGGGACAAAGTAAGCCGCAGGAGGAAAATACCCGGTCAGGTGGCCAAATACCCGACCGGGTATTCAATACTTTTGGGCGCCCGAGAACCAGAGAGGGGCCTAGGCAGAATGCCAAAATCCCCGGTCGGAGATTACAGAGGCAGACCGGGGATTTTCTCTTTGTTGATGCGCGCGTTTTGGATAATACCCGATCGAACCCCAGAATACCCGACCGGGTATTTCGACCGGGTATCGCGATGGCAGCTGATAAAAGGAAAAGAAGGCCAACTTTCAGAGGGTTCCGAGTTTTTTAGAGAGAAAGCGACGAACCAGAGTTCCCAAGTGCCATAGCTCGATCTTCATCACCATTGGAGCCCGGCTTGAGCTTGGAGAAGTGCGATTAAACGTCCAGGAGCAGAAATCCATCTTCACAGTATGATTTCCGCGTCTGAATCTGCTTTTGCTTCTTTCTCTATGGAGTAGTTCCCCCATTCATCTGGGTATGGGGAACCCTAGATTTGTATGCTAGGTCTGATTGTATGAACCCAAATACAGAGTTTGTGAGTTGATTATATTCGATTGAGGTTTGAATGATTGAATGACTTGAATCCTGATCAAATTCCTGTTGTTTCTGCTTTGACCTAGAATGAGAATATCTGCCTAGGTTGATAGAGTATCCTCAATCGAAGGTGGCGAATTGGTGACTTTAGTCGCGGAGCCAATTCGCTATTATGTACCGAAGTCAATTCGGTAGTGGAGGTTTGGTTCGTTAGGGCATCAATCTGTTTACTCCGGTGGAGGTTAGTCGCCCGCTAGAGACTCAGATTGAGAGGGTCTGGAGACCTTTAGTCGAGACTTCAGGCTAATTAAGAACCTTCCGCAGTATAACTTTCATGAAAACTGAACTTGGTAAATTGTAATCCGACTTAACTGCAGTCTAGGGGGAACCATATCCGGGTGACCTCTCTTGACTTGACAACAACCGTTTACTTGCTTTGTGTTTTTGTTTGCTTGAGTTTGCACTAAAAGTTCACTGCTAAATAACGAGAATTCACCGAGTAGTCATCACATCTAGGACCCGGGTTGACAATAAAACTCAAACCCGCTATACTACGCTTTAGGAAGTGGTTACACTTGGCCATTTTCTAGAGTGACAGTAGGAGTGAGTCAAGTTTTTGAAAACTGAACTTGGTAAATTGTAATCCGACTTAACTGCAGTCTAGGGGGAACCATGTCCGGGTGACCTCTCTTGACTTGACAACAACCGTTTACTTGCTTTGTGTTTTTGTTTGCTTGAGTTTGCACTAAAAGTTCACTGCTAAATAACGAGAATTCACCGAGTAGTCATCACATCTAGGACCCGGGTTGACAATAAAACCCAAACCCGCTATACTACGCTTTAGGAAGTGGTTACACTTGGCCATTTTGTAGAGTGACAGTAGGAGTGAGTCAAGTTTTTGGCGCCGTTGCCGGGGAGGGCTAGGTTGTTGAAGAAAAGTGATTTATGTTACTTTAGCATTTTCATTTTCGCATTGAGTGTTTGTTCCTTCCCACTTGTGCCTTCACGGGTTTGCATTGCTTGATTGTGTGCAGATAGTGCATGACCCGTAGCCAGTCGGGAGGTTTACTGCCGTTGAATCCTGAGATTGAGCGCACCTGCAAACAACTTCGGAGACAACAGCGAGCTAGACTGGCTACGGTGGAGCGCAGAGACGGCCAATTGAGCAGCGAATCCGAGGACGAGTACGAGATGGAAGGCGATCAGAACCCACCCCCTCAGAACCAGATCCTGGGGAACGACCCAAATCCCCAGGGAGCTGGGAACCATCATCATCCACCACCACCGGGTCCCACCTTGGAGTACTACTATACTCCACGGATTGCTGACATCCGCCCGGTCATCCTCTATCCGCCCATTCCTGCAAACAACTTCGAGATCAAGCCATGCTGGATTCGACTCATCACATCCTCTATCCAGTTCCATGGCTTGAAGGATGAGGAAGCCCGGGTGCATCTTTCCCGTTTTCTGCAGCTGACGAACGGGTTCAAGCTGAACGGTGTCCCGGATGACGCAATCCGCCTTCACCTCTTCCCCCACTCTCTGGCGGGGAATGCTAAGAGGTGGTTGGAGACCCAGCCCCCATTGTCCATCACCTCTTGGGACGATCTGGCTGACAAGTTCGTGCACAGGTATTATCCGGCATCGAAGACCACGGAGATTCAGCGGGAGATCACTCACTTCCGCCAAGAGCCAGATGAGTCACTTCGTGATGCATGGGAGGGGTACATGGGATACTTCTGGCAGTGTCCCCATCATGGTTTCAGCGATGCTTTCACAGTGGGGAACTTCTACAGCGCCCTCACTCCAGACAGCCAGAGGGTGATTGAGTCTCTATGCCCAGGAGGGGATATCCTTACTAAGACTCCACCCGAGCTGAACTAGATGATCAGTACCTTGGCTGCCCGAGATCATTCTTGGGGGCAGAACAACAGAGGCAGGAATTCCCGGGACCGGGGTGTGCATGCTATGGAGGCCAGGTCTGGGTTAGAGCAGCAGGTGGCTGAGTTGGTGCAGACATTGAAGCAGCCTAACAGTCTCCTTCCGGGCCGAGGTGTAGCTACGCCTCCAGTAGCTCAGTGTCAGTGGTGTGAGAGCCCGAATCACCTGGTGGAGGATTGTCAGTCTATGAGGGAGTCTTCTACTCCCCAAGAGCAGGTGGACTTCATAGCAAATGCTCGGCGCCTGGACCCATACAACAGTACATATAATGAGGGATGGCGCCAGCATCCCAACTTTGCCTGGAGCAGCAACACCAACAAACCACCTGGTTTCCCAGCACCAGCAGGTGGCTTTCAGCAGAGGCAGCCCTTCCAGGCTAGGCAGGGGCTACCACCACAGCAGCAGCCCTACCAGCCTAGGCAAGGGCAGCCATTCCAGCAGCCCCAGCGCCAGTTTGCTCAGCCTCCAGCAGCCGCAGCTCCAGATACTCAGATGGCTGATCTGAAGAACATTTTGCAGGCTTTCATGACCACCAGTTAGGCGAATTTCACGAGGATGGATCAGAACATAGCCTCACTGGAGGCAGGCCAGAGGAACCAAGGTGCCATTCTGCAGGATCTACAGAATCAGATTTGGAGCTTAGCTCGCCAGAACACTACCAGGGCACCACTGTTCCTAATCCTCGTGACCCTCTCCAGCAGCTGGACGCCATCACCACCAGGAGTGGCAAGACCATGTCTGCAGACTGAGGTAGAAATGGGTATTATAGCACCATCCAGCTCACTCGCATCGCACATCAGGTCAAACAGGAAAGACCAATCCGGAGTCACATGATGGTTGCATGGTAAGCTGTGCACTCTGGAGTGAAGTGGAAGGGTGCATCATTCTCTAGCAGCTTGGTCAAAGACAAGACGATCTTCGAAAAATCATTGATGTATCTCTGGTAGAAGCCTACATGACCCATTAAGCTGCGGATCCACTTCACAGAACTACGAGGAGTCTTAATGTTTGCCCGATCTTACTCAATCCCCTGGTTAGAGATTGTGTGCCCAAGCAAAATCCCTTCGCGAACAATGTATTGACACTAGGGGTGGGATTCGGTCGGTAAACAATTTACCGTTTACCGAATTTACCGGTTTCGGTATACCGAAGTTGGCCAAACTGGTTACCGATTACCGATACCGGTTTGTAACCGGTTTACCGATTACCGAATTACCGGTAAACGGTAACAAACCGGTATTACCGAAATACCGTGAGAAGCGATTTCGGGCGATTTTTTCGGTCGGTTTACCGAATATTTACCGAACCGAATCTCTGGAAGTGGGGTGATGTTGTAATATTTCGATTTTTTTGAGTTTTTTTCATCATTTTAGTAATTAATAATTTATTATTAACTCTTATTTACAATATTTTTGAGGCCTATACTTACATTCATGTATGTAATATTTTATATTAACTCTTAGGGTTAATATTTTCGTATGGCCTGAACTTTGACCAAAGTAAACATCCTGGCCAATCTTTTCGATCTATAACATTCTGGCCCGAACTATACACCAAAGTAAACAATTTGGCCAAATCAGACTTTTGACCGTTAACTTCGACGGTCAAACGCGTTGACTAACGGTCAACGCGCCATGTCACCGCCAACTCAGCAATAAAAAATAAAAAAAAAAAATTTAATTTCCACCTAGCCCATTTAATTTCCACCTAGGTCTTTTCTCAATTTGAAGACGAAAAAAAAAAAAAAACCCACCAAACGCAGCGAATTGCCCTAACCCCTGCCCCCATTCTTCATCTTCTTCGTCCTATCCTCTCCTCTCTTCCTCCAGCCGCCAACGATGTTTCAAGGGGCTGGTGGACATGTGCAAGCTACTCCCTAGAATCTGATTCAAAACTTCATCCTCATCTCTCGATTCGGATTTCGAACTCGCTCCTAAACCAAAAACGAGAGCTAGCTCATTCAACTGTACATAAAGTAAACAAGCACAAGAATAAATCCAGAGAATGGTTTTTATTACCTTTGCCCGCCCTGTTCTTGTGACCATGGCGGAGCTCGAAGCGCGCGGCTTCCTCGAGCTGCTTGCAAGGATCGCAAATTCGCACTGGGGAATCGCCTTGGCCTCTCAGAACCATCCTCTGCTGCGTACAAGTCCCGCAGAATAACCCCCCGCATCTGCGGCAGTGATGCTAAAAATCGAAAGGCGGAAAAAAAGAAGTCATCGATTGAAAGTAGACGAAATCGCGATCTGGAAGTTAGAGACAGAACGAGGGACCAAGAAGAAGAAGAAGGAGAAGGAACCTTGCGATTGATGAAGGTGAACTGAGAAGCGATGGCGGCTGGAGGAAGAGAGGAGAGGATAGGACGAAGAAGATGAAGAATGGGGGTAGGGCAGGGGTTAGGGCAATTCGCTGCGTTTGGTGAGTTTTTTTTTCTTTTTTCGTCTTCAAATTGAGAAAAGATCTAGGTGGAAATTAAATGGGCTAGGTGGAAATTAACTTTTTTTTTTTATTTTTTATTGCTGAGTTGGCGGTGACATGGCGCGTTGACCGTTAGTCAACGCGTTTGACCGTCGAAGTTAACGGTCAAAAGTCTGATTTGGCCAAATTGTTTACTTTGGTGTATAGTTCGGGCCAGAATGTTATAGATCGAAAAGATTGGCCAGGATGTTTACTTTGGTCAAAGTTCAGGCCATACGAAAATATTAACCCTAACTCTTATTTACAATATTTTTGAGGCGCAACACTAGGGAGTAGGGAGGGGGGATTCGGTATCGGTAATACCGATTTACCGTCGGTATTTACCGATACCGTTTTCGGTAAACCGACTCCCCCAACTTCCCGCTCGGCTACCGATACCGCCGGTAAACGGTTTACCGTTTAGCGCCGGTTACCGGTTCGGTAAAACGGTAAACCGTTTACCGGATTACCGTTTACTACCCCTAATTGACACTTCTCCCAGTTGAGTGCCAAGTTTGTCTCCTCGCACCTCTTCACGACGAGTTCCAGGTTATGGAGACAATGAGTGGAGTCTCCATAAACCGAGAAATCGTACATGAAGACTTCCTTGAAACGATGACGCGTCTGCACTCCGTAAACCAAGGGGTAATTTAGATAAGAGATTGTAGTGAGTGATTCATAAGAGATTTTAAAAGAATCACTCATTATGCAGGATTTTAAAACAATCTCTCGTTTGGACAGATGAGAATTTTCGCAATAAGGAAATTTAAAAACCCTCAAATATGAGTTTTTGAAATAGCTGATGACCATAAACTATTTCACAGTCCCTCGTTATTTTTATTTCTTTTCCGTAACTATCCCTTTCCAAAACCTTTTTTATTTATTTCTGAGCCCTTTCCAAAACCTTTCCTTCTCTTCCATCTCTTCCCGCTTATCTTCCTCTACTGAATTCAATAGCCGTCAACCTCATATCTCGTTGTCCCTCCCAAACCATCCGCCCCTTTCAACTCTTGAAGCCTTCCTCAATTGAGCACCGACTGGATTTTGTGGATGCTTGGAGCGGCGGGGGCAGCGCCTGCTTCCACATCTTCTTCTCTGCTCCACCGCCACAGAATCATTCAATTCTCTATTAGCTATACCATCAATTGGATCGAAGTGCAGGAGACAATGGTGGTGGTTTTCTACTTTTCTCCTCTCCTCTCCACATCCGCCGTCAATGACCTCCCGATTCGTCCCAGCCTCATCGACAAACCCTAAGATCCCGATTCGTCGTCAAATCCTCGGCGACCCTCAGACCACAGAGGGCGCTGACTATAACTGACGACGCTGTCCAATTTCAGGGCACAGGAGGAAGATATCGTGAGGAAGAAGATGGGAGTGAGGGAGCGGGTTGAGGCTGGTGGATACGAGAGTAAGATGGTACTCGTACCCTGTTTGGTCAGAGTAAGCAACTCGTACCCAACTTCTGGGTTTCTATTGGTGGCTGAAATTGCTACGGATTCTCATTGATCTCTTGTGAGTTACAATGCTATATTTATACAGGTTGTGGGATAACAGAATAACAGAGTGGCAGAGTGGGTGCGAAGGAGTAGGAACAACCACAACGGGAAGCAGGAGACTCGGTCTCCTTATCATGCCCCCGCAAGTTGAGGGGCAGTGACCTTCAACTTGGTCTTGAAATGATGAAACTTCTGGCGAGGTAGTGGTTTGGTGAGGACGTCGGCGATTTGATCATCGGTGGAGATATAACGCACAAGCAGCTGACCGGTAGCTACCCTTTCGCGGACGAAATGGAAATCGATTTCCATGTGTTTGCTTCGGGAATGAAAGACTGGATTGGCGGTGAGGTAGGTGGCACCGAGGTTGTCGCACCAGAGCGTTGGAGCCGTGGGAAGAGAGACGCCAATTTCGGTGAGGAGGGATTGGATCCAAATGATCTCAGCGGCAAGTGTGGCAAGTGCTTTGTACTCAGCTTCGGTGGACGAGCGAGCGACGGTACGTTGCTTGCGAGAAGACCAGGAGATGAGATGTGAGCCAAGATAGACAGCATACCCTGTGGTGGAGCGGCGGTCCGAGGCACAGTTTGCCCAGGCGGCGTCGGAGTAGCCGGATAACTGGGTTGAGGAGTGTTTGCTGAAGAAGAGACCATGGTCAGAGGTGCCGCGCAAGTACCGTAAAATCCGTTTGACGTCGGCCCAATGATGGAGGAGTGGATTTTGCATGTGTTGTGCACAGTAGTTGACCGCCTGAGAATGTCCGGGCGAGTGAATTGTAGATATTGAAGTGCTCATACGATCTGGCGGTAGAGGATTGTGTCCTGAAATGTAGTGGTATCGGGAGAGTTGGTGGAGACTGCCGCCGGAGTGGAGATAGTGTTAGCCGTGGACATGTTGGCGCGCTGAAGGATGTTGGTGAGATACTTGTGCTGAGAGAGGAAGAGTCCTGTAGGTGTCCAGATTGCATCAATGCCGAGGAAGTACGAGAGGCGACCAAGATCGCGGACAGCGAACCGCTGCTGCAAGAAAGCAAATACACTTTGCAGAGCAGAGGGAAGATTGCCTGTGATCAATATATCATCAACGTAGACCAGAACATAAATACGTATAGAACCCCGGATAAGAATAAAGAGGGAGGTGTCTGTCTTGGAGCCATGAAAGCCGTAGTCCTCGAGGGCGCGCCGGAGACAATGAAACCAGGCTCGGGGAGCCTGTTTGAGGCCGTAAAGAGATTTCTTCAACCTGCAGACATGAGTGGGATGTGCAGGATCAATGAAGCCGGGTGGTTGCTGCATGTAAACAGTGTCAGTGAGGCTGCCATGAAGAAAAGCATTGGCGATGTCGAGCTGGCGGATGGGCCAGTTGTGGGTGATAGCAAGTGAGATGATGAGCCTGAGGGTGGTGGGCTTGAGAACAGGGCTGAATGTATCACCATAGTCAAGGCGGGGACGTTGCTGGAATCCGCGAGCAACTAGTCGGGCCTTGTAACGATCAATTGTGCCGTCTGCCTTTGTTTTTATGCGAAACAGCCACGTACAGGAGAGAATATTGTCAGGGATGGACGATGGAACTAACTCCCAGGTTTGATTTTTGAGGAGTGCACGGTATTCTTCTAGCATGGCAGCACGCCACAGGGGGTCTTTCATGGCCTGGCGAGCATTGGTTGGAATGGGAGGTAAGGTTGTGGTGGATAGGTAAGTTTTGGGTTTGATGTGGCCAGTCTGTGTGCGCGTGCGCATGTGGTAAGAAGGAGGAGGGTGAGTAACAGGGAGGGGGGAAGAGGAGGGTTGGGGTGGACGGATTGTAGAGGGACGAAGGGTGGTGGGCCGAGAGGTAGAGGTTGGGGTGGTGTTGGGACGAGAGGTATTGGGAGGTTGTAGTGGGCGGGGCCGAGTGGGTAAGTGGGAACGTGGCTTGGTGGGATGAGAAGGGATGGGTAGTGGGCTGGGAGGTGTGGAGGATTGGTGGGGTTGAGGTGGAGGGTGGCTGATTGTAGGTGGATGGGATGGCGGGTGGGCTGTAGGAAGTGTTGGGCCAAGTGTAGCTGAGGGCCCAGGTGGGGAGAAGAGAATGGGTGGTGTAGGTAAAGGGGTGAGTGAAGCAGGTCCAGGGTGGGGAGCAGTAGGGGGAGCTGGTATGGGTGGAAGAAGTTGGGCATTTTGGAAGGGAAAACATGTTTCATCGAAGAGTACGTGGCGGGAGATATGGAGTTTGTGAGTGGCAAGGTTGTAGCAACGATATCCTTTGTGGGCGGGACTATAGCCGAGAAAGACACAGGGGGAGGAACGAGGTTGAAGCTTGTTACGATTTAAGGGTCGTAGCCAGGGATAACAGAGGCAACCAAAGATGCGAAGGGTAGAATAATCAGGAGGGGAAGAGTAGAGAGCCTCGAGTGGGGTGCGAGAGGAGAGTAAAGGGGTGGGAAGGCGATTAATGAGATAGACGGCGGTTTCAAAAGCATAAGACCAGAACTTGATGGGAACGGAGGCATGATGAAGAAGAGCCAGCCCGGTTTCGACAATATGGCGATGTTTGCGTTCAGCACAGGCATTTTGTTCAGGAGTGTATGGGCAGGATGAGCGATGAGTGATTCCTTGAGATTTGAGATAAGTGCCGAGTTTTTGATACTCACCGCCCCAGTCCGCTTGAAAGGTTTTGATGGGGCGATTGAAGAATTTCTCAACATGAGTGCGAAATTGAACAAAAATATCGAGAAGGTTGGAGCGATAGCGAGTTGGAAAAATCCATGTAAATTTACTGAAATGATCATAAAAGAGAATGTAATATAGATAACCATCAACAGAAAGTTCGGGTGATGGACCCCACACATCGCTACATATCAAGTCTAAGGGGCCTTGAGCATGATAGGTGGAACGAGGAAAAGGCAATTTGTGGATTTTTGCGACACTACAACCATGACAGAGACTAGTGTCGGATTTATTCGAAGCAGACAAAGAATTAGAATGGAGAACTTGACGAAGAACACGTGAGTGGGGATGTCCAAGTCGTTGATGCCAGTGGGAGAGAGTGGTGTGGAAAGCCATGGGTGAGGTCGAAGCAAGGATAGACAGGGGAATGGAGTAGAGACCACCATTACTCCGGCCTTGATGCAGAACCGTCTGAGATCGCGTGTCCTTAATAACAAAGGAGTCACCAAAAAAATGGATAGACAATGGGTTAGAGCGAGTGAGGGCATTGATAGATAATAGATTACGAGAGGCAGAGGGAACATGGAGAATATGAGAAAGGCTTAAGGGATGAGTGCTTAAGGTAGCAAGGGAGGAACCAGAGTTTGTGATGGGAAGAGTATTACCATTCCCAAAGGAGACTTCGTCAGGGCCATGGTACTCGGAGTGGAGGGCCAGGTTATTGAGGTCGGAAGTCAGGTGATAATTGGAGCCGGAATCGAGAAGCCATTCTTGTGGGTTGG